CTCTCTCTCTCTCTCTCCTCTCTCTCTCTCTCTCCCACCTCTTCCTTCTGTCCTTCCTTTGTATCCATCCTTCCAGCATTTCCAGCTCACACACACATTCTCTCACACACACACACACTGCTTCCCCATGCTGAAAAACAATCAGAATGGAGCCCGAGGTTTACCACATACATGTATGGCTGGTGACATTTACAGTATGTGAATGCCATTTGAATTATAGGCTGTGTGAACATCAGTATTAAAATACATGACAAAGTATACACCGCATAAGCTAGAGACATGATAATTAATTGTGTCACATTAATCTAAAAATTAGTAACACATTTGCTTTATTGGAGTATTTTTAGAAACAGAATTGGGGAAAAACTGATATCTGAAATATCTAAGAATTACTGAAGAAAGAAATTTGATTATGCATTATTTTTTCTGAAATCTGAAGGGTCAGAGAGTTGCGAAGTCCTTCCCCTTCCAGGGGACCTCCATGGGACCTTATTTTGGAAAAATTATGTATTGAAGTCAATGGAGAGAGAAAGATTCTCTTTCGATCCCATTTGAATTGTGCCACAAATTACACATATGATGTTTGTCAATTTAAAAGATAATTTTGCAAGTCAAAAAAATATATATGTGTCGTAAAACTGTGAAGCAAGTAACACATTTGTTTGTGTGAAACGCTCAATGAACTACATCTTTAGATCTTTACATCTGCATTCATCAAATTAGAAGGAAAACAATATTGAAAAATACAAATTTCAGTATTCTGAGGCTCTGAGCCCCATTTATTTTCCTCACAGACGGCAACAAAAGTCCGAAATTATACGATTTAAAATAAAAGCAATAACTGTGGCTTGATATTGAGTAAGAACATGTTTTTATGAACCACACAGCTTCCGGTCTTCCACGACCCGACCGGAGAAAAAGACGTGCTGCAGGCACGAAACACATTACCAGTAGAAATACATTGCTTTTAAAATCGTGCTGTGCAACACGAAAAAAAGGGGAAAATCGTGTTGGTGAACACGAATCAATAGATTAAAAATTGTGTTGGTGAACACGAAATGCCATGAGACTGCGTTGCCTAAAACACATACTACATACAACTTATGGTACATGCAACATTTGTTTTGTGTGGTACTGTGTCATTCTGAATCGAGCCTGGATCATTATTGGAGGAGTTAAACCGTGCATGTAAAGCACTGTCAAAATAATGATTGACTGTCTACAGATGCCCCTGGACACTGATGAGGACCACTCCTATAACAACCTGCATGTGCCATCCGACCTCTGCAGCTCACACAGAATGCAGCGGCTCGTCTGGTCTTCAACCTTCCTAAATTTTCCCACACCACTCCGCTCCTCCGCTCCCTTCACTGGCTTCCGGTAACTGCTAGAATCCACTTCAAGACACTGGTACTTGCTTACCATGCTGCGAATGGATCTGGCCCTTCGTACATCCAGGACGTGGTTAAACCGTACACCCCAGCGCGTGCACTCCGCTCTGCATCAGCCAAACGACTCGCTGCACCCTCGCTGCGAGGGGGACCCAAGTTCCCATCAGCAAAAACACGTGGGTTTGCTATCCTGGCTCCAAGATGTGGAATGAGCTCCCCATTGACATCAGGACAGCAGATAGCTTGCACATCTTCCGGCGCAGACTGAAAACTCATCTCTTTCGACTCCACTTCGAGCGATAGAATTTTTAACAAAGCACTTATATACTAATAAAGGACTGGCTTACCTAAAGCCAGTTGAGTAGCACTTGAAATGTTTGGCTCTATGAAACCTGATGTACTTATATGATTCTGTTTTCTTCAAGGTTGTGTCTTCCTGGTCGAATGTACTTATTGTAAGTCGCTTTGGATAACAGTGTCAGCTAAATGCAATGTAATGTAATGTAATGTAACAAGAGGCCTTACAGCTTCCTTCCGAAAGAGTCGGTTAGTGAATGGACACATTAAAGTGTACAACCCCTGATGCATGTGATTTTATAATATTACATATGACTTCTTTATACCATCTTGTCTTATCAGTGAGATGGAACTTTGTTCTCATGACCTCGCCAAGAACATGAGTGAGAAAGCGCATCAAAGGCTGAAGGACTTGTGAAAGATTCCGAGGAGTTTTTAAATAGGCTTTAAACTCCTGCAGGTCAATATTTTTTTAAGTTGACCAGCTCTGATTTTCCATATGATGTTCTGTTCAATAAATGTTCATTGAGGAAAACAGTATCAGTGTCTTATTTTATATACATCACAGTGAATGCTGAACTTGCCGGACCATATACTGTAGTTGAAAGTACACAATGAAACACTGGCTTGCTTGTATCAAATCAATACAATTCCCCCGGAACCTGCGGTCTTCAGACTCTGGCTCCCCGCACCAACCTGCGATCCTTCGGGGACAGAGCCTTCAGTGTGGCAGCCCCCACTCTCTGGAACGCTCTCCCTGCGGAGATCTGCAACATCCCCACGCTTGACGCCTTCAAAAGGGCCCTCAAGTCCCATCTGTCTGCCAAGCGACCTTGGGTCTCATGAAAGGCGCTATATATATCTTATTATTAATACATCATTGGAACGGTACCTCCAGTATGCCTACATGACAAGCATTTTTATAATATACAGTAAACATATCTTTGACTTATTGCAAAATTATAAAATGAAATTCACCCCTGCTGTCATTCTGGCTTTCACTGTTCAAATGAGATGTCAACTATCAAAATGGGATAAGGGGTTCCAAGGGGTTCTCAAACGGATAGGTTATTAATTTATTTGCCTAATAGTTGCTTGCTCAGCCACCGTAGGCGGCGTAGTAGGGGGCGTGTCGTGTAGTGTCGTCAATTCGCTTTTCATCTGCCATGCCTCTGCCATGCCTCTCAGCCACCGTAGTGTCGTGTCAGGTGGGTGTGTCGTGTACCGTCGTGTACCGTCGTGTACTGTCCGCGACCGCAGCTAGACCATATTGCAGTGACGCATCCTAAAACCCGGAAGTAAGTTAGCATTTTTAGCACTTCCGGTTCCTTTGTCCAAAAGCAATGCATTTTCTCCATAGGGTTTTGGAAAATAGCTCGAAATAAGGTCTGTGGTTGACACAAATTCTATTTGTGAAAATACAAACACAGGTGGAAGGCTGAGGTTGCTGCAGCAGGCCAGGATCAGAATCAGAGAGTGAACCTCCCAGCTGGGCAAGCCTTTATGCCTTCTTGTATTTTCACAAATAGAATAAAGGTTTCACAAATCTCAAACTGTGTTATAAAGAATCTTTAGCCTCTGTGGGATAATCCAGTCCAGATTTGATGAGTCTAGGTATAGTAGTTTCAGATCAGGACCTGGTCTAATGTGGTCAGGATGTAAAACAAGCACTGAAATCTCCCTTGTTTGTATTTTCACAAATAGAATTAAGGTTTCACAAATCTCAAACTGGGTTATATAGAATCTTTAGACTCTCTGGGATAATCCAGTCCAAATAAATCGGCTATGCAGCGATTTAAGAGGTTAAAACATGGAGGATTGTTCGCTCAGCGCTGTAAATTAAATGTCCCTTAACTTTCCCCTTAACTGCCGAATCGGATGCTCTGAATCGGAAGCCAACTTCAGCGTCGTGAGGTGAGCTAACGTTACATTTTTGTCCATGTCACGGTGAAATGTAAATGATGGGTAGTGACTGTATCGCCGTTTTAGAGATGGCGCTGCTGAAAAGACCGCAACATAAGTAAAGATAATGAATTAAAACCTGTGTGGCTTATATGATAAGTCTAATTAGTACAAGCAGGGCAGCATAACTTTTCACCATGTAACTAAAGATTGTAGTCAGGGAAATCAGTTTGACATATTGAACTAATAACAAATCACCTCTGGCTGGCAGAGAACTCTCTGCTCCTTCTCTTGGACGTAAAATCACATGTACTGTATACATTTTACATTTATATTCAATTTAATATTCCATCCCTCACATACTTTTGTATATATAATAACTTGTTGTGCTGTTGTAACACAAACATTTCCCAAATTGGGATCAATACAGTAATATCTTATCTTAATTAATTAAGAAATATACCTATTATAATTAGTGTAGCAGCTGACACCTATTTTCAATATGGATTAATCTACCATTTATTTCTTTAGTTCAATTTTGATCTATAAAAATGTCAAAATAGTGAAAATGTTCACGAGACTTATCAAAGTGCAAAGTTATATCTTTAGATGTTTTGTTTTAGCCTATGTACCGTATGTCTTAATGCTCTTCCATGAAACTAATATGTTATATCTTCCCAACAGACGAGCTGACAGGAAACCTAACACTCTTACAACCACAACATTGCAAAGGCGAGTAAATGTAAATGAAAAATGATTCACAATTTCTTAATTTCTTCTTCTTTCTTGCAGTGAGGTGAAGCTGACCTTGCACTTGGTGCCAGTAAGGATGTTCCTCACCAACACGCTCTCACTCCATAATCGTCCAGGAGCGACGTTTGGTCAGTGTCCGTGGCGTGCAGTTGTGACGCTCCTAGGCTTCTATAGCTTTATAGCATCCTAGTTTTGTATTTAGTTTCTAGATTTGTAAACAAATCCAGAACCTTTGAAATATGTTATTGAAAAAAGACCAAGAATAATATAAACTGTACCATGTGTCCTTTTGTGTCCTTCTGTAGTTCATTTGTGGTTTGTCTTGTCTCACCCCGGCTGATATATCACAAAATCCACTGTTTAAATTGTTCCCTATATTGCCCCTATGCCCCTGTAAGGTGTCCTTGGGTGTTATGAAAGGCGGCCCCCCAAAATAAATGTATTATTATTATTAAGAAGAACAACTTGGTGTGGTGTGGAGGGGATGTAGGAAGCATGAGCAGGTGGGGAGAGATGGGGCTTAAAAGTTCAAGGTTATTTGTTTTAAATGTGTCTTGGAGATAAGGACCAGCTGCACACAATAAAATACAGTATAACACAAAACCAATAAGACACACGGTGACACATGGCACACCAACAATCAATCATCGTCCAGCCTCAGCTTTGGTATTCTTTCACAACCATGTTATGGGTTTATTAGACTGAGCAAACATAAACATATGTGGGGAACATAGTGCTGCGTCTCATGGAACATGAAGATGTCCCTTCTTAGGGCGAGTTCCCACTGCCTCCTCCTCTCTTCGGTTTTGGGAAACCTTAAAAACATGAGAAAGGTAGCCAGATATATAAATTATTATCAACATTTTCCTCCCTTCTTTCCTTTAACATTAAGGGTAAGGACAAAAATACACACCGAAATTATCATATTTTTGGTATGTATGTATGTATGTATGTATGTATATATACTTTAAGAATAAGACAACCACACTAAGAGTAATAAAAAAGATGTCCAAAAGAAAAATTAAATAATTGTGTAAAGAAATGGTAGCAACATATTCTAAAGAGGCTGGGTCAAGAACAATCTTGCAATACTATTATCTCACATAGCCCCACTGATCCTGTGTAGCAGGACTTGTAATGTACATACATCCACTAAGTAATTAACGATTATCCTAATTTTAGTCATAATATTGTCATATCTTACACATGAAAGGTGATTCCACGGGTTCTTGTTTGCAGACTGCGGTGATTAGAGCATCCGTAGGCTGCACAAAAGTCAAGCATAATCAGGTACTTCTGTAAACACAAAGCCAGCAAATTCCTGTATCATAATGCAAGATGTTTTTAACAAGCCAAACCACTTGGAAGAAATCATGTGTAACTTAAGTTATGTTGAAAAGAAAGAGCAGTTCTGCCTCTCCCACTGGTGTAAAGTTGCTGGGTCAACTTTGTAATACTAGGTCTCACTCACAGCCTCTTGTTATTAGCCAGCTAATAAATACAACCACATACACAAAGAAAAGCTGCAATTTCAACATGTCCAAGCATCCTGTATCATAGCCATGCTAATAATGTTTATAATAAACCAAACCGTTTGTAAATCAGTCAAGATTTCAGCGAGTTAAGAGTATTTTTGTGCAGATCACTCACCTTACAACAGCTACCATAACGCGAATCAGAGTAACTGTTGACTGTGGCAAGATGGCGGCCGGTCAGCTACGCTGGAAAATCTCCCATGAGCCATCTAGTGTTTATATTAGGGCTGTCAAGTTAACGCGTTAATAACGCGTTAACGCAAAAAAAAATTAACGCCACTAATTATTTTAACGCGATTAACGCATGTGTATTTTTTTTCCTCGGCCGCCCCGTAGTTTCAGAGCGCATCGAGTTTAAAATACCATCTACAAGCTGATGCTGACAGCCCCGCTCCCGCCGCCCGCTTGTGGCTGACCACACTTCCACGCTCACGCTATTGGGAGGACCGGGAGGGTGTGTGTATGTGTGGCTCGAGCGAGCGAGAGAGAGAGAGACCTTACGTGCATTGTTGTTGTTAGCATCTGGTGCTAGCTAGCTGCGCTAACGGATATAAGGAGCTGCTTAAATGAAAACAGAGGAGTGACATTTCGCCGACAACTGCGCCGAGCACTTGACTTTATGCAGGAAGCCAGACAGTGGGACATTGTCCGAGAAGTCAGCACACTCAGCACGGATAGTGCAACATGATTGCAGCGTCCAGGCAGCTCCCGTTCGAGCGTATGCCTTGAGTTGCACATAGCTCCAATGGAGCCCAGGCACACACACCACACACACACCACACACACACACACACACACACCACACACACACACCACAACACACACACCACACACACACACACACCCACACACACACACACACACACACCACACACACACACACACCACAACATCACACACCACACACACACACACACACACCACACACCACCACACACACCAACCACACACCACACACACACACACACACACACACACACACAACACACACACACACACACACACACACACACACACCACAACACACACACACACACACACACACACACACACACACACACACACACACACACACACACACATCACACACACACACCACACACACACACACACACACACACACACACACACACACACACACACACACACACACACACACACACACCATTTGTATTGTATTAGGTTCCAGGTTGAATTGAGGCGAATATTTGTAATGTTCAGAGGTTGTTGTGTTTAATATTCATGAGAATATTTGTCATTGTTCAAATGATAATAAACATTTGCATAAAGCATATTTGTCCACTCATATGTTGATAAGAGTATTAAAAACTTGAAAAATATTCCTCTAAGGTACATTTAAAACAGATCAAAAATGTGCGATTAATTTGTGATTCATCGCGATTAACTATGGACAATCATGCGATTAATCGCGATTAAATATTTTAATCGACTGACAGCCCTAGTTTATATATCTATGAGTACAACTAGCTGGATTTGTATTTCAGCACCATAGTCAGCTCTCTGACCATCAGTTTAAACTTTAAATGCAATGAGAGAGCCCACATGTACTGAGAGGGGCAGCAGCTGCAAGTCTGGCGGTAGGTGCATGCAGCATGACAGTAAATACTTTAAAAAGACAACCAGACATTTAATCGTCATCATATAACACCATGCAAACCAACAACATTCCCTGTCAATTACAATTGCAAGGCTTGAATGGGCTGCTCAACAGCTTTCACCCAAACGAGGGTTCCTATTTAGTGCTGTAAAATAAATTATAAAGAAAAAAAACAATGATGGTTGGAAATGATCTTGATTTTGTGCATGCCATGATGAGTTTTATGTTCAGATATGTTCCGATAACAAGGCCTTTAGTAAAGGGCTGTTTGATAGAAGTTGCCTTGTGGTTACACTTCACTAAAGAGTACTGTATTTGGCATGACACTTGCGCTTAGCTGCATATACATGTTACCAGACTTTCTACAACTATCAATTGGAATATTGCTTGTTTGTCATGTTTTTCAGTCTATTATTTGGATTGGATTGGCATGTGTTGAAGCAAGCATTCCAAATTAAAATACATTTAAAATAATAATAATTTAGACTTTTGAAAAAAGTGTGTATTTAAAAGAAAACTATGCCTTATAACAAAGATATCATGGAAATATTTGCCTAAATCTCATAATAGTTCCTAGGCCATGTTTCAATAATGCTGCATGTTAGTTGTATTTTATTTTGAAAGTGTGATTCCCATGTCCAGGAAATGATATTGAATTCCTGAGCTTTACCACCCCTCAGCGATATGTGTTCGCCGTCTTGTATTCAGGGTGTCATTTGTATATTTTGTGCATGTAGGCTTTGGTGTCGCCTTTAAATTATACTTTTAACATCTTTACAGCTGTAGTGTTTAGCGTCACGTTAGCAACGCGTGAACTGCAAGAAAACGAAAATGCTCAGGGTGAGTAGTTTAGGTTGACGGAGAATTTTAACAACGCGACGATGTAGTAACTAGTGGAGTTAAACCAGTCACCCTGGGACTGTTTTATTTAATGACAGTTAGTGTATACCTCCATATTACCATACCGAACCATGCTATCCCTGAAAACACGTGAATGCTTGTTTGTTATAACATAATTTCAGCCTTTTGTAATGTATCTCGTCAATTCGGAATACACACAGCTCAGCTCTCATTATTTAATATTAGCCTATTTAAATATGTAGCCTTTTTAAATATGTAGCCTTTTGTTATATTCCATGGAATGCTCTTAACATCCCGATAGCAATGAATATCTTAAGTGCTTTGACAAAAAATCCATTAAAAAGTGTCATTTGTGGAAGCCGTAGTAGCCTACTGTAAAAAGCACGACCAATACACGTGCTCGAATTTAACACGAGACTAATTTAGTTTCACGCGACGCGAGACAACTACAAACTAGCTTAAATTCAAACAGCAGAGTCAGAGGTGACGCATTTTCACAATTTCTGTTTTTCTTTTCTGCCTTACCCCTAGTTTCCACCGGGTCCGTCTGCGGCGCGTTACGGCCGCGTTGCGGCTGCGCCGCAGCGTCCGCATCGCGGCCACTCTAGTCAATGGGTGCTATTCCACCAGACGCTCCGCGTTGGCTCAGAAGCGTCCCAGAAGCGTCTCGCTGCTGGGCTCCGCTCGAAATAGGATTGAAGTCTATTTTTCGACGCGACGCAGCCGTAAGGTAATGTCGGGCAGGCAGGAAGTGGAACGTTCAGAGCATATATAGCCTATATATATATAATAATAATAATAATAATAATAATAATACATTTTATTTTTAGGCGCCTTTCATGACACCCAAGGACACCGTACAATTTGTTAAAAAAATAAATTAAAATTAAATTAAAATAAATAAACGCTAATAGGCAACAGAACATGACAAAAACACAAACAGGAAATCATGGAGGAGACAGTCAAGTGTGGACACAAAAGAAACATATAATGGGGAGCACTACAGTGAGTAAGCAGATTTGAACAGGTGGGTTTTTAATTGGGATTTGAATATCGTGATTGTGTCTGACTGTCGGATGTGCGGGGGGAGGGAGGTCCAGAGTCTGGGAGCAGTGCAGCTAAAAGCCCGAGCACCCATGGTGACGAGGCGTGGGGTGGGGACGGTCAGCAGACCAGCAGAGGAGGAGCGGAGGAAGCGAGAGGGGGTGTACTCCTGAAGAAGGTCAGCCAGATAGGGGGGGGGGGGGGGGGCAGGTTATGTAGGCATGGCCGTATCTACCATTGAGGTCACCGAGGTCCGGACCTCGGTAATATTTCCGAGCTGTGTATAACAAAACGTGTGAAATAATTGCACTAAACGGGGTTCTTTGTAGTACTTCCATTTACTGACCATGGGGGCGCTGCATAACTACATAGCCTCGGTTAAAGCAAACAGAAGAAGACGACATGCATCAACAAACCACCGCAGCCCGGGCTTGTACCGGAGCAGCGGAGGAGTGATGAGGTATCTAGAGATCTGAGTCCATCGGGCTGCTTGTGTTTCTGTTAATCAGGACATCATATGACCAGCAGATCCTGTGTGAACGCTCTACGTTAGTCAGTGGACGTCCGACAACATGCACACTAACTTATATTGCAGCTATAGGCTATACTTTGGTTTAAATTGCGTGAATAAACTAGCTAGAGAGCTAACGTTAATTACATGCATCCAATGTCAGAAGGATTACCTTTTAACAAACGTTGTAATGGTTTTCTTTCATTTCAATTTGAGTAAAACATTGACGATATAACATTGTATTGTTTTCTTTTTACACTGACTCAGATATAATGAAAAGACTACGTCAGTCGAAGCTCAGCTTTGGTAAGGAAGAGACAGGACAGGCAGAGAGAAAGTGATGGAAGTCAGGGAGGAACTGCAGGTACAGTCACACAAAGATAAGGAAGGCTTAATAAGCCCATCTATTTATCTATCTATAACAATAGTCTTCATTTACAATAGGCATCATTTTAAAACATACATCTATTGCAGTTATGATGTCATAATAACATACAATTGTATAAAACACAATTTTCTTACATCTTTGTTCTCTTTTTGAGAATCAAACGAAACAGATTTAAATAAAAAAAATAATGCAAACGAACAAGTGAAATAAACTAAACTGCTGAATTGCTTTTAATTCACTGGCAGGAGCGACAAGTGAGGAGGAGCAAACAGTGACGAGCAACGAGGGAGAGATTGAACAAAGAGAAAGCGTAGAGGACAGAGAGAGTAATGAACAGGAAGAAGACAGAGAGACTCAAGACGATGGAAGAGAGGCTGCAGGTTATGGAAAGGAGAGAGACATGGAAATGAATGTTGACAATGTGTTGTGATCATTTTAGCCTCTTCTCCATGTCCAGATCATTAATAGTAACAATCAACTGATTCTTATGTATTACACTTTCAAAAATAATTGATGCTGACATTGTCAGCCCACTGACATGGGTTGAAATCAATATATTATCCAATATGTGACTCCCCACAGGATTTAAAAAGCACCTAACTAGATAATGAAAATCCCCAAAATCTCGGGGGGTATACCCCGAACCCCCCTAACATGTTTGGACCTCGGTATTTAGGAAATCCTGGATACGGCCCTGCATGTAGGGCTTTGTAAGTGAGCAGTAGGTTTTTGAAGTTGATACGGGATTGAACAGGGAGCCAGTGGAGTTGGATGAGGATGGGGGTGATGTGTTCGGAGGCCTTGGTGCCGGTGATGATCCGGGCTGCGGAGTTCTGTATGATTTGTAGTTTATTGATGAGCTTGGTGGGTATGCCTGAGAGCAGGGCCGTATCCAGGATTTCCTAAATACCGGGGTCCAAACATGCTAGGGGGGTTCGGGGGTATACAAAGATGTAAGCAAATTGTGTTTTATACAATTGTATGTTATTATGACATCCTAACTGCAATAGATGTATGTTGTTTTAAAAGTATGCCTATTGTCTATATTGTAAATGAAGACTATTGTTATAGATAAATAGATGGATAGACAGATAGATAGATAAATAGATGGGCTTATTAAGCCTACCTTATTTTTGTGTGACTCTACCTGCAGTTCCTCCCTGACTTCCATCACGTTCTCTCTCTCTCTTTCTCTCTGCCTGTCCTGTCTCTTCCTTACCAAAGCTGAGCTTCGACTGACGTAGTCTTTTCATTTCATCTGAGTCAGTGTAAAAAGAATACAATACAATGTTATATCTTCAATGTTTTACTCAAATTGAAATAAAATAAAAGCATTACGACGTTTGTTAAAAGGTAATCCTTCTGACATTGGATGAATGTAATTAACTGTAGCTCTCTAGCTAGTTTATTCACGCAATTTAAACCAAAGTATAGCCTATAGCTGCAATAAAAGTTAGTGTGCATGTTGTCGGACGTCCACTGACTAACGTAGAGCGTTCACACAGGATCTGCTGGTCATATGATGTCCTGAGGAGCAGAAACACAAGCAGCCCACTGGACTTAGATCTCTAGATCACTCCTCCGCTGCTCCGATAGAAGTCCGGGCTGCGGTGGTTTGTTGATACATGTCGTCTTCTTCTGTTTGCTTTAACAGAGGCTACGTAGTTATGCAGCGCCCCCATCGTCAGTAAATGGAAGTACTACAAAGAACCCCGTTCAGTGCAATTATTTCACAAGTTTTGTATACACAGCTCGGAAAACATTACCGAGGTCCGGACCTCGGTGACCTCAATGGTGGATACGGCCATGCCTGAGAGGATGGCGTTACAGTAGTCGATGCGGGACGTGACAAATGCATTGACCAGGACTTCAGTGTTTGATTGAGAAAGGGATGGGCGGAGTGTGGAGATGTTGCGTATGTGGAAGAAGGCAGTCCGGGTGATGTTATATAGCCTACACAAACTCATTTTGCATACTCCGTAGTCGTTCAAGTAGGAGGAGAAATGCCAGCGTTCTCCTCCGGTTTACAGGCACTGTGTAAATTATATATATAGAATAATTATGATGATTTTACCTCTAAAATACAGCAACATATCTTTGATTCATGTCGTTTAGAACTGGGATATTACAATTATTATTAACTTTGTCTGTACAAAGTAGTCTGTCCAGGAAATATGCTCAAATCAACTGAAACTGCGAGCCGCTAGGCAAGACGCTCCGCTTCTGAAACGCGCCAGGTAGGGTATGACGCCGGAGGAGGCCAGACCAAAACCGCGGCGCAGCCGTTACGCGACGCAGACGGACCCGGTGGAAACTAGGGGTTAGTCGTTGTTATTTAAAAAAAAACAAAAAACGTTAAATTAAATAGTTTCACAATCGAGTTTAGTGCGAAATGTGTGTTGTCAACATAGACTGTATAAGGTTGGCAAAGATGTTCAACTGAGAGCAAAGGTTTGATTTAAGACCTTTATGGCTATTTGCTCCAATAACTTTTATCTACTAGACTGCAATTTAGTCAAGCAACACAAGTTATTTAATCTAATCATTACATATTGTAACAAATGAAGGCTATATTATTTCTCTGAATTTCCAGGTATTCATCACAAAACGAAAAAAAAATGTAAGACAAATGCCAAAGGCTAATTCAAAGCAAGTTATACATTTAAATGGCTTTATACAATGCTTTTAAAGAAAAATGCCATAATGCAACATTTTTGCCCAGTGTATCCTTCTTTTAATGGCCTGTTGTTTTCCAGCAAGATACCTTATCCAATTGTAATCTCTAAATAATGACAACTAAATAAAATCTTGATAGTCAGACTTTATTCTGCTCTAAAGATTAACCAGAAATGTGGACAGTAGAGGGAAACTGAGGACACTAATCACATCATATTAAAATGGTCCTTTTATGTTACATGTAGCTCCTTTAACATTTAACATCCAGTGTTATCTCTTTCCTGCCCAGGTGAATGACATGTTGCCAGTAGTAGTGGTACATGGGGGGGCGGGTCATATCCCAAAGGACCGGTCAGAAATGTCCACTGCGGGGGTGTGCTCTGCCGCCCGAGCGGGGTACACCATCCTCCGGGGAGGGGGCAGCAGCATGGACGCTGTGTTGGAGGCTGTCAGCATCCTGGAGAATAACCCCTGTTTCAATGCAGGTAATGATACAAATCTACTCTGTTATTAAATACATGCAGCATAATGGCATCCTTCTTACACATACTGCATTTTCTGCATATCCTCATCTGTATATGGAGGCGTGTGGTGCAGCGGGTTGTGCGTTGGTGTTTGGATCAGGGGGTCACAGGTTCAAACCCCACTGCAGTCAGCATGTCGTTGTGTCCCTGGGCAAGACACTTCACCCCAAATTGCTCCTGTGGGGATTGCCCACAGTATTGAGTATGTAAGTCGCTTTGGATAAAAGCGTCTAACAAGTGACATGTAATGTATATATACCATATAAATACAAATCTGTAAACACTATCACTGCATTTATTAATTTTGTTAAGTTGGTTTGGTAAATGTTCTATACCTTAAATGTGAAATCTATTTACCCATATTTGTTTTTGTACATTAACATGTAGCACTGTTCCATTAAATGTCTTATATGTATTTAATAACCGTAATAGCAAAGTAGAAATACACTGTATGAACACATGCATACATACTTACACATCTGAACATATTTACACAAAAAATGACCCTAAATGCAATTCTTATTCTTGATCAGTTTGTTAAATTTAAGATAACTTGACTTATTTTATTACTTTAACAACTGCTGTTGATGAAAATGTGATCAATTTAAGAATTTGGGGGATTTTTTTGGGTTCAAAACGGGGTGTAACAATAAAAGTTTAAAGTGGTAATATGGTAATAACTGCCCCTAACTAGCACCACGACCACTTTACACTTGTAAAAATATGTGGAACTCCTACGGATAAATTGTCGTTTAATATGTGGATCACATGCTGTACATACTGCCAGGATTATTTACATAAAAGATATTAAGGATTATTATTCCACAAAGGCATACCTCTATACAAACATTTCTCAAATCGTGTTTCAGGGTGTGGGTCAGTGCTGAACATCAAAGGAGAGGTGGAGATGGATGCCATTGTGATGGATGGGTTAACTCTGGGTAGTGGTGCTGTGTCTGCTGTACGCAACATCGCCAACCCCATCCAGCTGGCAAGACTGGTCATGGACAAGGTGTGTACCTTTAAATATGGAATGGTTAAAGCATACACTTGGGAGTTGTAAATCGAAAGTAGGAAGAAGTAACAGGGTTTGGGAGGGTTACGTTAAAAATGTATTGCATTATAATTACTAGTTACCTGTGAAAAAGTATAATTAGTAACCTAATCTAAGTATCACAATATGTAAGTAATGTAACATAATTCATTTCCTTTACTATTGGATTTCGTCAATGCAAATAAATTAATGAGAAACAAATATACAAAATGTAAACTTAAAGGGGCCCTATTTTGCTTATTTTCAGGTGTATATCAGTATGTAGTGTCTCTACTGGGACATGTTTCCATGCTTTAATGTTCAAAAAGCTCTTTTTTTCTCATACTGCCTGTGCTGCAGTACCTCTTTTCACCCTCTGTCTGAAACCAGAGCCCAGTCTGCTCCGATTGGTTAGCTGTCCACTCTGTTATGATTGGTCAACCACTTTTCCAATGCTTAGCCTATCATGCATAATGTGTTGGAGCGCTAGCCAATAGAAGCACAAGTGTTACATAGTGATGTCAACAGAAGTAAACAAAGGAGTCCAATGGAGGCAGGCGGGGGGTGGGGGGGGGGGGAAGAGAGTGTGTGGGAGAGAAACTCCCTCTGGAGGAACTTTGGGATTTTAGCCTTTGCAGACCATTTACATGTACAAAAACCTATATAACATACTACAGGGAAGGGAAAAAGCATAATAAGGCCTCTTTAAGGATGTGACCTTTGATTATTGATTTCAGACGAGTCACTCATGTCTGACAGCAGAGGGGGCCAGTCAGTTCGCCCGGTCCATGGGGGTCCCCGAGGTGTCCCCTGAGTCCCTCATCACTGAGTACTCCCACATGCGCTGGGCAAAGAACCTGGCACCTGATGCCAACCCTGTGGAGAGCCAAATGTGAGTCACCACGTCTTTAAGCTTATTAGCATTTGTTCTAAAAATACTCCGATCCATCAGGAAGGTAATCTGAATCCTGCTGAGTCTGCATACTGGGGGAGAAGTACTGTGGTCATTTAAACATTTTCATAAAATCACCAGATTAAAAAAGATATACTCCTCAAAGACCCTCCCCACAGAGAGACACACATAGCTCTGCTCAGACAGATTTATTGTAAATGTCACACACCATAATATTGACAGAAATTGAATTAAACCTCTCTTGCCAGTATTCAGAGGCCAGTTAACATAACAACATAACACAATGCTTTGAGACTGATCGTGCAAATATTGCCAATTGAGGCTTGTCTTGTATGTCACAAGACTCATCCAATGCCACACTGAAAAACTCCCATGTTTGAAGATCAGAGTGTAACTGCGCTTCAATGGCGGTGTTAATGTCCGATATTCTGCGTTCAATCTGAGCTAACAGAAAATTATCCATTTTATTTTATTACAGTTAAGCTCAATAGTGGCGGCGCTAGGGGGTGGCTACTTGGGCTCAAGCCCCGGATGTTTTCTGAAAAGCCCCGGATGTTTCACTTAAAAATATATATTTTTTAAATAATTCAATTTTTTTTTTTTAAAACGTCTCGGGAGTAATGTGCAGTACCGGAGTCCACCAGAGAGGAAACCGCTGCGGGACATTAGCCTGCGTACTGCGTAGCCTGCCCTGAAGTAGAAGTGATCCTTCCTAGTGCCTGACGAGTTTTAAGCTAATAGCCTATACAGTTATGGATATTAGAAAGTTATTGTCATTGAAGCAGGCCACAAGCTGCAGCAGCAGCAGTATCAGCAGCAGCAGTATCAGCGGCTGACAACAATGTCATCACCAGCAGTGAAGAAATGGATGATGTTTCAGGTTTGTTAATCTAATGGTGATATCTGCACTCTGGCTGACTGAGTAAGAAGTGAAAAAGAGTGATGTAACGTTAATGTTATAGCTAGTAAACATGGAGTACCCACACTAAGTATACCCTTATATGTTAGTATGTATACAGAACATGACTAAAAGTTATCCTAAGATGTAACGTTAACCCTTCATACCTCAGTCTACTTTTAAGACACTAAAATAACGTATTCCAATTTGTTTGTTTTTTCGCGCGTGGAATTATACCGGCTCTCGTTTCAGTACACATAACAACGGAACTGACAGGCAAGCCTCTGAATCAGACTCCGATTGGCTGTGACTGCATCCACTCAGAGTGTCCGATTCAGAAACGTGACTCTTACACATTTTTTACGTCACAAACAAAGATGGTGGATGAGAATAGATCTATAAAACGATAAGCAATGCGCCAGAATCAAGGTGAGACTATCCGCATCCTTTAAAACTCTACGCACATTCCTTTCACCTTAATAAGTAAACGACTATTTGAGTGAGTTAAGGCATTAGTTTGCTTCATTAAAGGGTGTTAATGAGTGTTCTCCAGTGCCTTTTGTCCGCTTTAAGGTGTTATTAAGGTAGGGTTAATGTTGCTCTCAAAGTGCACCAGATTGATGCTTTCAACTTCAATATTTAAAAAAAATCTTCCCGGGGGAGCATGCCCCCGGACCCCCCAAGAGGAGGCGACGACCCCCCTAAAGGATGTTCGGTCCACCCCCAGGCAGGGGTAGCACTGTACCCCTGCACCCCCCCCCCCCCAACAACTCCTAGGCTAAGCCCCGGATCTCCTACAATCCTAAATCCGCCACTGCTCAATACACTATTTTATGAACATATAGGTTCACCTACTGAAAAAAATAACAAGTGAAACAAGAAAGTGAAACAATAAATCAGATTAAGGCAGTAGGCGTAAACATGCAGTCCGTTACTCACCAAACCTGCTGAGCACACAAATCAACAGTTTTGAGTCATGCAGCAGCAGTAGTTGGAGAAGCTCCTCTGGATGTTTGTTCAGGTGTGCTCACCGGGGCTCAGGGTCACTGTTGGAATTCATTGTTATTGCTGTAACTGCAATTTCAACAAAAGAGCAAGCTCCAAACGTTTCCCAGCTGAGCAAAGTGAGGATCCAATACTCAAAAGAAACCTGTTCCTTAATAGCTGATGGTACTGTCGCTGATTTTATTGATAATTAAATAGTATAGATAGTTAAAACACGGCCGATTTCATACCTGTTAGAGAGTGACGTCTACCTCATCTTTGACAGATACTATGATTACAGTATCAAGTCTGTCACCAGAGATGTCAGGGAGACAGTGGTCAATAGGAAACATCATCTCCTCCTATCAACAAAGCTACTAGCCCAGAAGGTTGTTTTGTCATCCATTGAAAACAAGAAACGGCTTAACCTATTACTATTTAAGGAACTGACCGAAGACAGGCTTTTCCATCTACGGGGCACAAACAAACACAAGTTGGTGGTGACAGGGGAGGACTCGTGCCCCATCAAGATCAGGATGGAAGAAAGAAGGAGCCGATATGAGCTAGAAAATCAGCAGGAAGAAGCTGACACCATCATTGTCCAACATGTCCTGGGGTGTGCTGGAGAAGCCCATCCAATCTCTGTGGTTTCTGCTGACACAGATGTGTTCGTCCTACTCCTTCACCATTACCATCAGGCAGGACTGGATGTACTAGTGATGTGTCGGTCGCGAACGAGCCGATTCTTTTCAACGACTCTTTGGTACGAACGGCCGTTCTTTTTATCGTTCAATCGTTGGTCCGCACTCACTGCCTGCCAATATCCACTCGCCTTTTAAAAAGCTTGGTTTTGTTCCCCAAACGTATTCTGTGAAGACCCGCCCCTACTCTGATTGGTAGGTTTCAGCACGAGGAGTGAGATGGGGTTAGTCTTAACGGAATACGCGAGAGAGAGAAGTCATAACAAGTGGTACAGGACAGGTAGACGACGTGTTTTTCGGATGGAAAATGAGCCAAACGCGAAAACGCAGCGGCATTTGGATGCACTTCAACCAAAACCCAGGCAGTGATAAAGCGCACCATTTGTAAAGGCAAAATATCCTTTAAAGCAGGCTCAACAAATAATCTCCAACGCCACTTAAAAACACAGTATCTAATATTAAGAGTTGCGTGAATTTCATTCAAGGCAAGGCAACTTTATCTACATAACACATACAGAGGGTAAATTCAAAGTAGTACATTCACTGACATGAATGACATGGATATGGTGCCACCTTGTGTCATGTTTACAATGCAGATTATTGACATTAGGTCTGGCAATACAGTCAATCATTATCCTGGTGATTATTTCGCAGATAAACCTAGCTACCCCGCCCCCTTTAAAAAAACAGCTCTTTTGAATGGCTCTTTTGAACGGCTCTTTGAAAGGAACGGAGCCATAAGATCCGGCTCCCTTCAAAGAGCCATAATTCCCATCACTAGGATGTACCACTCATCATGGAATCCCACCGCAAGGAAAGAGCAATAGTGGACGTCAAGGTGACACTGTCCAAGCATTCAGAAATGGTCGAGAACCTTTTACCAGCCCATGCCATATCGGGATGTGACACTGTAGCGTCTTACTATGGGTTGGGAAAAGGCTCTGTCATCAACATCCTGAAAGCTGGGTACCAACTATCAACAACATGGATGCACCATTCCAGCAAGTCCTCTACCAAGCCACTGCCTTCACCTCAGCCTGTTATGGCATAAAGGAGAAGCACACACATGTCACACACAAGGCTACTTGTCTGGGGGGGAAATAATGGAAAAGGACATATGTCTGCTCCAAACCTTGCTGCTCTACCACCAACAAATGAAGCCTTCATTGAGAATGTTAAGAGGGCCCACTTTCAGGCAATGTTGTGGCAAAATCTCAATGTAAACCTGCTGCCAGCACTGAACCCAGAGGAATTTGGATGGAAAAAAGATACGTGTAACAGGTCACTGATCCCAACCCATCTACCAGAAGATGCCAAACGTGTCCCAGATTACATTTTGGAGATGATCAGGTGTGGCTGCAAGAGTGAGACCCCTTGCAATTCCAAGAAGTGCAGTTGTAAAGTGCATGGTTTGCCATGCACAATGTTCTGTGCATGTTTCAGGGTGGGATGCTCAAGATCCTAACACTAGATGATCATCAGCAATATTTGTAATGTGTCATTTCTATATGCTAATGAGCAAAGTGTTATCCAACAATCTGCTTGCCTTTCCTTTTTGTTGTTGGTAATAAACGCCACGCAGTTGCGTGAGCAAAAGAGAGAAGTTGTTTTCATTGTCTTTGCAGAATTCACTGCACTACAAAAGTATGTTTTGCTGGGTCAGCTTAAAAGGGTTAATATGAATTCATTTAGAATACAATGCACTGTATGAATATAAACATTGGGGAAGGCAAATGTGATGCATTTGATTTGAATATATTTCAATATTATTGCATGAAATCTCATAAATCCTTATTTTTCTGGGATTTAGGCGTTTTGGGCATGGAGGGGTTAATATCTGAAAATGCTAAAAGGTTATCAGTGGGCACCCTCCTGTATTTTGAAGAGGTACCTCCAAGCTACAAGAAACAGCAGAAAAAACCCCGTTATCAGACGAAACAAGGTTCATCCAAAAATCAGGCTTTGGCTCCCAAAGCTCAAAAGCTCAAAAGCTAAAAAAAAGAAAAAAAAAAGCTCAAAGCTCAGTTTTAGCTTTAAAGTGATAACCAGGTTATTATACAAATCAAAGTAGAATCAATCACAATTCTACACTTTATATACCCACCACATTTTTTTAAATGTATGCTATGATAAACTATATTTTAATCCATTTATACCATTGAATACATACTTCTTGGACTCAAATATATGGTTATATCTAAAACTAATATTAATATCAGTGTAAAAACGCCATTATACATTTTGAATCATCATTCAATTCTTGGTAAACGTATTGATTATGTATGGCAAATTCAAAACTGAATGTTCCCCTTTTTTCAGTGGATTTCTTCATGTGAATTAAAATAATATATATCAGCAAACTGATGAACTTAACATTCTTTTTAATATGATATATATTAATAATATAATTGTGGTTTATTTATGCCAATTAAAAAATAATTATATTATTTATATGTGTTGTTTCTCTGTGTCCTTTTTATTGAGTTCACGTCTGCAGTGATTATAAACGTTTTATCAATTTTCTTTTTTTTTAAAGGAGACTTTTTGCTGTTCCTTTATGTTTTCTCGTGCAGGGGGAAGATGGGCACGGTTGGAGCAGTGGCAGTAGATTCGGAGGGCAACATCGCCTGCGCCACCTCCACCGGGGGGATGCTGAACAAGATGGAGGGCCGGGTGGGCGACACACCCTGCATAGGTCAGTCCTCACACTAACCGTCTGGAGTTAACCTTTAAGAGCGAGCACGAAATCTAATGACGTCAATATCGCACCAAACAGATTGGAAGGTGTTTTTTTAGACTAATCGTTCTCCAGCAGCTGACCTTTGACCTGCAGAAGTTGTTTGTTAGTTAGTGAAAAATGTCTGCTTAGTTAATTATTGACTATGAGCGTTGTGTCTGATAACCTATTGTTCAATACTGCTGACACATGTTGCATTGGGATTATTCTGTAGACAAAACGTCCAGTTGTCCGTGGGTCAAATTTGACCCGTTGCTAAATTATTTTACATCAGAGTCACGGAGTTTCAGAGGTGATTAATAAACAGCTTCAGGTGGATTTTGGTCTCTTCAGACATGTCTAGCTTACTATACTGTCACAACCGCTTGACAATCAGACATTGCAATGAGATGAAAATTACAAAAACGTAAAATTGTCCTGCAGGGTCTGGAGGTTACGCTGACAACCAGGTGGGGGCAGTGTCAACCACAGGCCACGGAGAAGCCATCATGAAGGTGACTCTGGCCAGACTCATCCTCTTCCACATGGAGCAAGGTAACACACTCTGGATTTCTGCAGTGACGAAAGAGTGCCTATAACCAGGCAATTTCTGCAAATAATTAAATGAGTGTGGCTGGAATTACTGCTCTGGCCAGGGATTGTAAATGTTTGTTTAAAAAACAAAACATGAGGGCTATGGTTTAATTTTTGTGGGGCTCCTTCACTGGGAAATATTTAAGGTTTAACTCTTCATTTGCTGTTTTCTGATTGGTTTATGCACCAATTCATGGCGGAAACAACTTTATTTATGTCATTTTAATTCAAATCTATAATTTTTTTTAAATTAATTATGGTTAGGCTCTAGGAAATGTTTTATCAAATACTATTGTTGTCACTTCAACAGGAAACATGTTGCAAACATATATGTTGTAGGGCAGTTTTATTACAAAAGTACAATACAACACCATCATATCTCTCTTAGGTGTTTTGATCTCCACTGCACTCTGTTTATTGTTGTTGCGCTGATGTACACTAGTTGACCCCTGACCTGTTAATGAGCACTTCTACCTGATCCAGAACCTTTTTTCCTCTCTCCTCTGCTCTCAGGTCAGTCCGTGGAGGCTGCCAGTGACTTAGGCCTGGCCTACATGAAGTCCAGAGTCAGTGGTCTGGGGGGGGTTGTGTCGGTGGACCCTCAGGGCCGCTGGGCTGCTCGCTTCTCCAGCCTACAGATGTCCTGGGCTGCAGCGCAGACAGAGACCCTGCACTACGGCCTGTACGTTGGGGAGCACTTCACCCAGAGCCTGGGGGGGGCCCCTCTGACAGGAAGTACAGCACATTTAGCTTCTAAACCTTTAGGCTGAGCATGCACTGAATCAACAATATTTTAACTTTAAAGGTGGGGTAGGTAATTTTGGAGAAACCAGATCGGCTTCCACAGATGACGTTTTTTTATGGATTTGTTGTCAAAGCACTTCAGATATTCATTGCTATCGGGATGTTAAGAGCATTCCATGGAATATAACAACAAGTGTATCTCGAGCCGGTTTCTCAAACGTATCTACCCCACCTTTAATATTATGAATAATAGTATATTTCAGTATTGATTAATATTTTTTATAAATATTTTTAATCTTTTATTTTGTGATAATACTCAGTGAAGATGGAAAGCTACATTTGGTGTAATCATCTCATCATCTAAATCATCTTCTCTTTCAATATGAAACTTTCGCCATGCAGCAGTGACAATAACTGCAGTTCACCCAATGGCCACTTGAGGCGGGCTCCAAAACAGAGTGATCTGCATAGACCTCCATGTAAAGAAGCTAAACTTTAGAGCAGAAATAGCCTGGTGCCAAACATGGTTTTGGTATCTAAAGCTAATGAAGAGTTTTTTTTATTTAACTCTTACACACTGTCCAGTTGCACTCAAGTATTAACTGATGAAAATGTTGTGGTCAAAATACGATATCCCATGCTTGCCTTGAGATCATTTCTCCAAATTTGACCCAACTGTCCACCAGACTCAAGGATTAACTGATTAGAATTTTGCGGTCAAAGATCAAGGTAACTGTGGCGTCACAAATCATGTCTTTGGCCATAGCAAGAATCAAGAATTAATACATATAATATTAGAATTTCCTTCAAATGTCTTGTGGTGAAATTTTAGACAAATAAATCTAAACTGCTACTTGGCTGGTTGGTTTACAACCACAAAGTGTTAATTCCAGTGTTCCGCATGGTCATGTGTTATAAAGTCCAAATAGGCTTTTGCCAAGAGTATGCCTTTTATCATGGAAGAATGTGAGTGTTTCTTACCTGACCTATCTGGTATAATGACATATAGTCGTATACTTTTAAATAGCTGTGGCTCAGTGGCTAATCCACCAATCTGAGGGTGAGTGGTTCGATAGCCAGCCCTAACATGTCAAAGTGTTCTTGGGCAACATACTAAACCCCACCCAAAATTGCTCCTGAAGGCATGTCAGCAGTATTGAAGGGAATGTTTAAAAGCTAAAGGACATCATGTGAAGTCATTTGAGTATTCATGGGAGGTTTTTGTACTGTAAGGTGAATCGTTGCCATCACTCCAGCATTTGAACCAGAGCCAGTGTTTGTGATATTCAATGCTGGAGCTTCCTGCTATGAAAACACAGATTTGAAAATAAATGCCTTTAATCCCTGACCATTGTGAGTTTCATGCTCATTGAGTCTGTGTGTAGAGGTGCACTCATGTGTTAAACTCAGCCTGTATGTGTTATTTTTTGGATCCACTAGATGGTGCTGTTGAAATACAAGTCAACACTCACACTCGCACTTTTTACAGATTATAGGCTTCAAGTTCATCTTTGCTGAGCAATTTTATATATAAACTCTTGTTGCTATTTCAATCTTGTCCTTGAGCTGGAACCCACAGAGAGCTTATATTATATAAGAGACTATAGTGGTTATTTGGGTTATTGTTGCCTTTCTATCTTCTTGACCAGTCGGGCCATTCTCCTCTGACCTCTGGCATCAACAAGGCATTTCACCCAGAGATCTGCCGCTCTCTGGATATTTTCTCTTTTTCATACCATTCTCTGTAAACCCAGATGGTTGTGTGTGAAAATCCCAGTAGATCAGCAGTTTGTGAAATACTCACACCAGCCCATCTGGCACCAACAACCATGCCACGTTCAAAGTCACTTAAATCACCTTTCTTCCCCATTCTGATGCTCAGTTTGAACTTCAGCAGGTCGCCTGACCATGTCTACATGTCTAAATGCATTGAGTTGCTGCCATGTGATTGGCTGATTATATATTTGCGTTAAAGAACAGTTGAACAGGTGTACCTAATAAAGTGGCCAGTGAGTATATGTAGGTCAAAGAGACATGCAAACGGGTGGTTGTTGTTTTTAACAACTGAAACAATATTGATAAAATGTTTTTCTGTATTAATTTAACTTAAAGTGGACCTATCATGCTATATTTGAAACATATATTGTAGGGCCATACCTATACAAAACGTGTCTGTGAAGTTTTTTTTCAAAATACCAAACAGATCACCCATTGTAGCCATGCCTCATACTGCTCAAACCCCTCTTTTGAAGCCCTGTTAGAGAAACGCGGATCTTGGGTCCTTAGCTTGAAAAAAAGAAAGAAGAGGAGGCGGAGCTAATGCCTGATCAGAATTCTACCGGAGATAAAGTTAAATTCTGCTGTGATAAAACGCCATCCTGTTCAAAACACGTCAAGGATTATTTCTGAAACAGTATGGAGCTCAAATGCTTTTTCTCTTGCGGGTTTATCACAAGGTGAGTTCTTTTTTTATTTCCTGCTTTTTAAACACATGTGCTCTCCAGTACAGGTTAGCTCTGAGTGTTAGCGAGGCTTGCTATTGTAAACAAAGACGAGATTACGTCAGGCATTGTTTCTGATAGAACTTTCTGTGGGTCCGCTGCCGAATTGACGTCAGTTCGGATGGAATCTGTATCCGCTCGTTGTACACTCGTTTTTAAAAGATTTGGGTACGGAGGAAAGAGAGAGAGGGTTTTATTTTCTGACGCTGCGTGAGTTCCCCGACGCACCGGGGACACATATGTATGTATAAAAGACATCACAAAGTGCATTTTGCATGATAGGTCCCCTTTAATTGACACGTAATTACTTTACTTGCTGCACCTAGTTGACCACTGAGATTATAATCAAGATGTCATCCTGTTTTATAACATTATTCATTTCCTCTTCTCGTCTGGAGTCCATCTCCTCAACATATTCTGAGCTTTCTCCTCTGTTCTCTGACACCCAGATCAGTGAAATTTGACCCACTCCTCTCCTCCCTCCCTTTGTCTCTCTGCTGCCGTGTTTGCATTCTCATGTTATGTATACGAAACACACATTTGCTTACACACACAAACACTACCTCTCTAAAATCCCATGGTGTCTTCAGTAAAATATTGTGCATTGCCTTGCCAGTTTATATTACCTCGATCCAATGACTGTTTCAGTGAATAAAAAACAATAAAATACCTAAAACGCAAATGTTTAATGACATTACTGCATGTACATTACTCAGCCATGAACCATAGTTGTTGTTCGTCACCTTTGGATCAGATGCGAACCAACAGTAAAACTATGAACTGTGAGAGGGAGCTCCTCTGTAGGTCACACAACCCTGCTGCTTTGAGTGTCAACTGTCTTACCTAACCCCCTGTCCTTAAGGTGCTTTGAGTACAAACACTTTTTTTACAGACATTTTATCTGCATCCAGATCCTCATACCAGCAGCTTTCTCTCCTTCTGTGTACCCTAAACAAAGTAATAATGAGGGTCGTGGAAAAAGCAAACAGCATTTAAGTGTTCTGTCCTTTCAGTTTGAAAGCATGAAATGTGTGTGTGTGCATTCTTGTCTACAATATAAAAAGAGTATATGCGAGAGTAGTAGTTTGACTTTTCACACCCCTGAGAGTGAGGAAATGTTGGTGCAGTGAGGACATTTGGGTCGACTGCCTCCTTCAAGGGGCCAGCTCAGGGTTAGTTTGTGATCGTCCGGGGTTACCCAGACAGCATGCAGCGCGCGGACAAAAGCTCTCCAACCATGAAGGCTCACAGTGGACCGTGGCCAACTTGGCATTTGTTTATCGTGGTATGAGACGGCGATGTCAGGATATAGGAGAAAAGTGGACTTTTCCATCAAAGGTCCCCAGCTGGATTTGTACCAGGGTTGTTGTTTATGGTCAACTTCTTAAGCCATGACTGTCAGCTTCTTTGATATAATTCATGAATTTTATAAAGAAAATATAACTATTTTCCGGACACACCTCCAACTACCCCAGTTGATGATTTGCTCTCTGACAACACAAATAAAATATGTTGCACTCTTTCAGTGCGTCAAACGCCCAGTCAGCAAGCTAGCTAGCTTTAGCAACGTTATCTCACGGTACCAAATATTCACAGACTGCTCAAAAAAACCATTACAATTACAGCTGGCATCGATTCAACACTAGTATAACGGTACAATTATTAAATATTGAAAAAAAACAACCCCGTATTTATAACTTATTGTTTTATAATGTTGTAGCCTATTTACCGCAGCAACCGCACAACTTAGCCTATGTACATAGCCAAGATAGCAATGAGTTTCATTGTCCAGCGTTCCAAATAACTTAAACAATTAAATGTAGGCCTACACAAATCTTGACCCCATCTGTGATAAATATAAATCAATGCCAGCCACTTTAATTCAAATGTGTTAGCCATGCCTGTCTACATGCATTTTTTGGGTTCCATTTTTAATGAACAAAGCCTTATGGTGCTGTTCTAATATTCAATATTTAGGTACATTTCAGGTTCATGGTTAATCTACTGGTTCCAAATCTTTTAATTGGAGGTCAGAGTTTTGTTTAGGATTTGGGGTCAAGTGAGGCTCTTGGGAGCGAGAGGTGTGCTCTTTTACATAACCAACACTAAGCCAGAGAATGTCTGCACATAAAAGGAGACGTGTTATTGAAACATTCCCAGCTGATCCGTGCGGAATGAAAAGGACATCAGCACACAGTTTACCTCCCAACACTCAGCAGTGAGGAGGCTGATGCCGTTTTCAAGGTGAGTGAAATCTGTTAAAAAGTCAGCTAAGGAACATCTGTGTATGTGGGGCTGTTAACCTGAGATTCTGCAAGGTGAGATTTTTGCTCCGCAGTCCAACAGCTTCCCGCGTCAAGTTAGGCATAAGTAGATGACAAAGTAGCGCAAGTGTTATGTAACAAAAGCATACTTTTTTCTGTAAAAGTGACACTATGTCATATTAAAAGAGTGAAGCCAAGTGGAGAGTGAACTGAGTATCATTATAACATGTTATAATGATCAACTTTCTATATATTTTTATATTATTTTATTAATTCTGCTTTTATTGTGAAAAGAATGACCGGACATGGATTCTTGTTGTGTTCAGAGTTCAGCTCTCTATGGTTCAGATCAGATTCTTTACACCGGTCACTGAAAAGGGGGCCGGACTCCGTCCAAGCTTTCTTCCTACAAAAACCTCCGGAGTTTACAACGGACAGTGTGTTAACTAGGACAGAGGAACATGGGCTTATTAAAGTTAGAGTAACAATACAAATGTGTGAAGTCTTTATACAGAACTTTAAATTGTTTTTCATCATCAAGTTCGTGGAGTCGCTGAGGACAAGTGACCGGCCGGCATCGGATGAAGACCTGACACACACCTTTTAATTTAATTGTTCAGTGTGTCAAAATATGCGAGGAATGATGGCTGCTTTTTTAAATCCTCCTGAAGTACTGCAGAGCTGAGCCGCTGTCTACAAGTTCTCATGGTGAGTTCACTTACCTCCGGACTGTTTCCGCTTTCTTGCCAAACTCCTATCACAAATTAATGAAGCTGGAGTTACCAGAGCTGTAGGCACACTTGCATACATTGTAGACATTCGCCATGAATGTAACCCCATTAAATCATGTACATTCAAAACTCGGCACTTATATAATATTTAAAAGGCTTGTAATCTGATAAAAAAACAACTTTTAAGAATTGGTTTATCTGTTTCTTGCCAAGGGGGGCGATGAAGCGGTGTCAGAGCCAGAAAGATGTTAGGATGGCAAAAGTAGACTGTTGCTGAGTGAATTAATGAACTCAGTCAATCAAAAATAGTTTGTTGATGTGATATTAATTGCGATGCTTCAGGTGTTCTTCTACAGAGTATAGATAAGATAGATAAGAAGAAACTACAGTGCCCACCCCATTATGGGAACAAAGTGCTATCAGATAGCCTAACATTATTCAGGTCTGTATTTAATGGCACAAATACACTTGAATAAAGGCATATCATCAGCCCAGTGTCTAAACTTCATTTTACTTTATGGAACAATAATTTAACATTCTGTTTTTATATAAATAACGTTACTTTTAGTGGATTTTTTCTAATTATTTCACATATTGATTATGGAGACAAAACATTAATTTGTAAATCTAGCACAATAGCAATTGCACAAAGTCACTCCAATGTAAAGAAATCAGGTAATATACTGATCAATTGTTTCTTTTACATTTGAGAAATCAGTTCATTCGTAGATTAAAAGAATCAGTAGATTTGAACAAGGGGATAGTTAACGGTTTCACTTAATACCGGTGATTCTTTTTTTTTCTTAACTTGGGAGTCCTTGTTCAACCGTGTCTTTATTTGCCACCAGGTCACTGAAGTCAACATCTAGACGTTCATTTAAAGTAGCTAATCAGTAATCAGTGGTGGGTTGCATATCACAGTGACCCTCTCAGTCCAGTTTATTCATCCGTCTCCTTCCTCCCTTGGGATGATGGTCGGTTTGGTTCCCACAACTTCCCAGGCAGAATGAGAGTGTGGAAGACTGAGGGAAACTCTTTGACAGTAGGAAAATAGTAAGTACATCTCTAGCAGTACAAGGCAGAACCCTTCAAAATCACACCCTTGTGTTGTACCTGTTAAGTGGGAAGTAGATGGTTGCAAAAATCCTCCAGGAAATCTCTTAAACTCTGCATTTTTGCTGTTAAATGTTTCTGTTGCGCTTCAAGTTATTTGAATTGTGTGTGTGTGCCGGGTTGTTTGTGTTGATACAGGCCTCTGAGCTCTTTGTGTTTGAGGAGGGGTCTCCGGCCTCGCATGGCTGACCTCGGGGTTGCTATGGAGACAACCTGTTGGACTTCCTTAATTCTCAGCCCATCCCGCAAGACATTACAGGGCAGGGATCTTAAATCAAACTGAAAATGGGAGTGAGGGGGGAGAAGCATTCAGTCTATGGCAGGAAGGCAAAGCAATTATATTTGTTGTGGAATTATATATTCCATAAACAAGTATAAATTAAAAAAGAATGTGACAAAGGGCAGTGAGTTTAGAAGGTAATGCAGTACAGCCAAATTGAACTTGGATACAGTCTGTCTCAAAACTTAAGTTCCCTTTTTTTTTTCCTTTCAAGCTAAGCTAATTCAAATAATGTGTTTAAAGTGCGGGTAACAGTCTGGATATCGTTAGCCTAGCTTAGCTTAAAAACGGGGGGAAACTGCTTCCCTCCAAATAATACAGTCTACTTGCTAATAACACAATATGAAGCTCACTAATTAAACATACCAATTGTTTAATTTGTATATAAACATATATGTTATGTTGTAGTTTTCAGGGTTGTTACCTGCTGAGCTAGCAAGGCTAGCCTTTTCCTTCCAGTTCCTAGCTAAGCTAGCAAAGCTAATCACCTCTCAGCTCATTCTGTACTTCTGTACTCGGATGTACTTACAGACATCCGAGTGGTATATCTTATTTTTTACAAATGCCCATGTTGCATGTGTACAGTGTGTAAAGGAAAATCTAAATCTACATGTTAGTGGGCATTGATTGACAAAGACCCTGGGTTTATTATCAACTTCTCCAACATCATTGCTAAACATAGTTTCCTGCCGGCCCCTGGTACTCTGCACCTGAGGGTGTCGAGGGACATTAACCCGCAGGGTTTTTTGTCCTTTAGCAGTCAACAGTGTTAATAATCAAAGTTCTGGTTTCACGGGCCACCAGCTCAGTTAGTGTTCAGGACCCTGATTGGAATATCCGCTGGTCCGTTTAACTGCTGACATAGACTGATATACAAGGTCAGAGAGGGAGCTGAAGGCAGGAGGAAGGGAAGGGGCAGGATCTGCGCTATCAGATAAAGAATGGAAATGTTTAGGAAAACTTTAGCTACACACACACACACACACACACACACACACACACACACACACACACACACACACACACACACACACACACACACACACACACACACATACACGTTAATGCATAAAGGTCATACCCTCTGTTGAGTGTTGTTAATAAAGATTAAAAGTAATCTAATTAGGAAATCAAGTAGCCAGATAAGCTTGAATTCAAATATTGCGGGATGGTATACCATCAGTTTAAGTCTAGAGATTTAAGGACGCTGGTTGTTGAAGGAAAGTGCTTGAGTTGTTTGAGAATGTTTTTGAACGTGTGAATGTAAAATCCACTCAGATGAGCAGTAACTATAGCGGAGTGGAGGTGTAGCTTGACACTCAATGAACATAGGTACTGAGTCACCAAATAAACTTCAGTTAAAAGTCAGTTTGGGTAAGAGCTGAATAAATAGTTTACATGTGATTGTTAAATGCATCTACCAGATAAGAATGTTCATTATCCCTGTTTATTTTTAATTGTTTTGTTATTTGTGATTTTAAACTTTTCTTGGAACCCAGGAAGTATTTGAAAAAAACTTAGAAATTGTAGTTTCTGTCCCTCTAAAGTCAATTTCTTTGAACATTCTTGACTGTTCAAAGTCTCAAGTTCTACATTTGTGTAGGTAACTCATTCAGACAGAAGACAAAGGTAGATGATAACTTACTTCCTGTCTGGTCTAAAGAATAGTGAGAGCAGTTGAGTGTATATTTATTTGCTAATTGTTTCCACAAAGTTACAAAATAAAAGAGAGCTCTTTTATGAGTTTTGTGGCTTTTTCAGACAAAAAGGTAAGTGTAGTTTTACATGTCAGGTGAACTTATACTGAGGTGGAACAGAAAATGTAACATGTAAGTCGTATTCAGGGAAAAGTCCTAAAGTGCATAGGGAGTTAAGTGGTTTACCTTTTTGTAATACAAACATCAGCAATGAATAATGGCCGACAGAATAAGTTTTACTTTAAACTCTCAGGTGATGAAAAAAAAGGACTCTAATGGCTCACCTTGGCACAGACAGAAACCATCTCAAGTGCCTGTGTCCTTTATGTACTGCAGCTTTAATGGTGTTTAACCTGGCACACTGTGACTCTCATTGTGTCGGTGTACATAAGTGCCTCTTGACTGGATGAAAGAACACACAAACGCCTGCCATACTAAAGGTTTTCTCTGTAGCAGTTTCAAACACCAATAAATCACCATTGAACTCAGTGGCACCATGGCATATTTACTGTACACAGATCAGACCGTGATATACTTTACCTCGCACCATTGCCATTTGTTATGCTAGCGTTTTTCCAAATCGAAATGTTCTTAACGCTGTTGCTTCCCAACTGTAACTCTTACAGTAACTGACCTTAGAGAGTATAACATTTAAGATTTTAATAGAATAGTTTGGGTGATACACTTCTTTAGCGTTCTCTGAAAGAGTTGAGAATTGATCAGCGTCATGTTTGGGCATAAGCCTAGGGTTAGGGTTAGGGTTGTTCAAAGATGTAAACATAACATTCTTACCAGCACCTCTGAGGATCACTGATTCACATCTAATTCTTCAAAATCCAGATTTAAACAGAAATATTTAATCTTAATGATGTGTTTGGAGGAATCATGCTACAGCCGGAGATGCTTGGCGAACTGTAATGTGATAATTCAGCTGTTTACCCTTACTTGTGGTCTTTACGTCTAAAATATCAGTTAAAACGCTGTTACGCTAAATGTCTTGCTAAGCTTTGTTCACAAATAGAGCCCTGGTCGACCTGCTCTCAGCTTTCTAAGAGAACCTTCCTTGTCCAAACACAAATGGCATGTTCGTATTGGCAGTGAGCGAGGTCAAGGGTAGAGATTTTAATAAAATAAGAACTTCTGTCTGGATTGCATGAAAGACAAATCGAAAAGGAAGGTCATGCACTACCAGGTATGAACTTTTACTGAAAAGACAGGCACATTAAATTGTGTGATCAGGTATTGCAATGTACAGATGCACAGTACAGTAGAACACAAATATGAAACTGAAATAAGCATAATATGTCCTTTTTAAGCATTACTTTAGATTCAGACCTGTAGCAGACACAAGTTAGACTGTAGACCTGCTTTTATCTCCCACCTTCCTCGCCTTTTTTCCGTCTTACTATGCTTCTCTTCTCCTTCTCTCTCTCTCACTCTCTCTCTCCGATCGCTCTGTGTTAGCCGGTTGCCAAGTGCTAAGAATCTGGGGAATGCAGGATTGCAATGTTCTGATAAAGTTTGCTTTGTTCCCCAAATGACCTGAGTGAGAGAGAGAAATAGAGAGAGAGAGAGTAGTACCCATAAGTCCTCATACACATACATTCCATATTTTCACATGAGCATCTCGTTACAAACAGTGTGTACACATTGACAGTAACAGTGAATACACCGCCTGGGACACGGTCTGGTAATAAGAGCTTAATAACAACAAGTGGAATTCCTCAAGACTTATCTTTGGATTGTCAAACTATCCATTAGGCGTATTTACATGAGACTGCCTGGAGTTAAAGCATTCGTACAATACAGAAACACGAGTCAAGAGCACTCAAGGCTTCCAAGGATGACTTCAAGGGTCATAATAGAGGTTTTTCATTTTAGCCTTTC